ATTCACTTGATTCGTTGGAATCATTATTATTATTGTTGTTGTTGTTGATATTATTATTTGAATAGCTTGTAATTTCACTGTTGAATAATTCATCGCCTCTGCCAGTTAAATATAATACTGCTTTTAAAACAGGGTTACTGATTTTACATCTTTTTGAAACGATATCAAACTTTCTTTCTTTTAATATCCAATCAATAAGAGATATTTGAATGTTGGTAAAGGGTTCTTCTAAATCTGTTGTATGCTTTTTAAAGATTTCATAATTGTATGACGTGGTTTGTATTATTGTTTTTATTGATTCTAAATCTGACCAATTTGAAAATTGATAATCTGACCAACACTTTACAACTACTGAGTCATATTCGAACGAATAGGGTCTTGATAAAATATGTGTTATGGTTTTCAATATTTTATCAGTTAGTTGAATTTGTGATTCATGGGTTAATAATTGATTTACTTGTTGATCTGTCATTTGATTGTTTGATTTTGATGAAACTACTTTAACTTTTTTAACTGGTAAACTGGAAATAGATGAAATTGAAGCTGGTGATGATGAAGATGGCGCTGATAATACAGTTGGCAATAAAAATAATGAATAAATTGAACTCGTAAACTTTAATTTGCTATTTGGTTCTGTTAAATATTTTTCATAATGCGATAATAGTTCAATTCTTCCAAATTTGTAAAATGGTATTATATTATATAGTGATTTATCTTTGAAGTTTGCCAGTATGAAATCTAAAACTTGAGTTGATCTGACATATCTAAATATATTGAAATCGAAATTGCTAAAATTCTTTGTTGGTACTCTTAATTGATCGCAACCAAATTCTTGATAAACTAACTGAATTAATTCCAGATCATCATTTGCCACCATTATATTAAATAAAAACAAAGGTTGAAGTTTTGATTCTTGATTTATTTTATTATCTTTTATATCATTAATTAAATTTATTAAAAATTCTATTTTTTTTTCTTTTAAAATTATATTATTATTATTATTATTATTATTATTATTATTATTATTAGATATTATTTGTTTATTAAATAAAAAATTTGGAAATTCTTCTTGTTGAAATAACAATGAAATTTTATTTTCTGCAATGTATCTATTATTATCTTTACCAGAGAAATCGTTAAGTTGAAACCATTTTTTTAATATTATACTATTTGCGAATGAGAATGCCAGTATTTCAGCTTTATCTAATGAGTATATTTCTTGCTCTGGGTAATTGCTTTCTGTCCATTTTTCTTTAGATATTAAATGATATATTAAAGGTTTCTTATTTGTTATTGAATAGTACATTTCTAAAAGTTTATTTATTATTGGATCTAATTCTTGTTGGCTTGATGAAGAGATATCGATTATTGACAACTTTAATTGACCTTGATTTTTAAATTTTAAATATTCATTATTTATTTCCTTAATTGTTAAATATTCATTATTATTATCTTGTTGTTGTTCTTGTTGGTTATTTTTATTTAATGAGTTTTTGAAATTAATGATTGTATTTTTATCTATATTTAATAGCAATATTGATTTACATGATTCTAATAATTGTTTTAAAGTGAATTTATTTTCTATTGGATCCAATCTAAATAAGTTCATTAAATATAATGGTTGATCTTTGGGAGGTATAAAATTTAAATCTGATATTAAATAATTTAAAACTTTAAATCTTTTTGATAATAGTTCATTTGGTGTATTGAATATTAATTTCCAAATTTGGTTTATAAATTCTATTTGTTGATTTGGTTGTTGTGGTGGTGGTGGTGGAAGAGATTGTATAGGTGATTGTTGATAAAAAGTAGAGTATTTTGAAAATAAATATTTTATAATTTTAAAACTGTTAAATTTGATTGACTGTATTAATGTACCAGGTGAAACTTGATACCATTCAAAGTGTTCTATTAATGTTCTGAGGGCAGATATACAATTGCAAGATATAATTTCTAATACTCTTTCTTTTATATTTGTATTAATTCTAATAGAGTGAGCGCTGAACAGTATTTTATAAAACTCATCGTCGTTGTTTATAAATTTGAAAATTGGTAATAAGGAGCTTAGTTCTAAATTTACTGGGATATTATTATTATTAAATGGTGGTAAACTATTATTGTTTTTTATTGCTGTTGTTGTTGCTGTTGTTGTTGTTGTTAATGGTGTAAATGGTAAAGCTGATTGTTTAATTTTTGGGAATAATAAATATTGGTCATTTTTTATTTTATCCTTAAGTAACTCTTTATGATTGTGTTTGATCATCCATTCCACTTCTATTGCTTGATAATATTTTTTTGAGAACTGGTCATTGTTGTTGCCATCTTTTAAGAACTGAATAATAATTCTAAAAAGGTACTTGTTTTTGACTACTTTCCAAAATAAAAACTCTGAATTTTCGATATTTTTGATTTTTAAGTTATAACAACTATTATTAATTAAATCTGAATTCTCTAAATTTTTTTCTCTTTTTATGCCAACAACACTGTTATATTCATCACAGTTTTGAGTTTCGTGAATAAGTTTTATAAAATTATTTATTCTAACACATATATCTGCTTTTTTGCCAGAATAAGATAAATTGAATAGTCTTGATAATAATATTAAATCATTTAAAGAAACCTGCTCTATATGATTAAAATTTATATTTTTTATTTTATTAATTTCTATAATTTCATTATTACTATCTATACTATTATTATTATTAATATTATTATCCATTTTATAATAATAATAATTTTTAAATATTATAAAATGAATAATAAATATCTATTATTATTTTTTTTGCTATGATTAAATATATATTTTATGTTTAGAATATATTGGTTTTGAAATAAATAAAAAAAAATTTAAAAAATTTAAAAAAAAAAATTAAAAAAATTAAAAAAAAAAAATTTAAAATTTAAAATAAAAAAAAAATAAAAAAAAATAAAAATAATAATAATAATCTCTTTTTGGTAATCGTTTTTTTATTTATAAGCTTATTTGTTTTTATAATTAAATAAAAATGGTAAATTTAATTTGACTATACCAGACGATAAAATTGCAGCAGTTTCCATCCTTAAAATATTATTGCCCATTTTAGTAAGATAGAGTTGTGAATCGTTTCTGTTTGAAACTACTGATTGGATATTGTATAGTTCTCTATCTGAAAATCCTCCTTCGGCACCAATGAATAATAATATATCTTTTGGTTTTTTTATTATTGCTTTATTTGATTGCTGTTGTGGTTGCTGTGGTTGTTGCGGTTGTTTTTGTTGTAGTTGTTGTTGCTCTTGCTTTATATCATCTAAAACTAGTGGTAACTCTTTTCCCTGATATGGATCACCTATAAATACATGAGAATATTTACAATCGCCTTCTTTTTGATTTATAAATCTATCTTTTAAAAACTGGTTTAAAGAAACTGGTGGTATAATATTCATAATTTGATTATTTCTGGATTGTTTTGATGATTCAATTACAATTCTTTCAAATCTATCCAATTTATTATTAGTTATACTTGAGGATTGGGGCGATGATTTTGAAAATTCAGTCTCTAATAATATTAAATTACTTATACCAATTTCACTTAGTTTTTCAATCATCCACTCTGCTCTTGCTAATTTTGGTAATGATGTTGCTATATCTATTTTATTAATTTCTTCGCTATTTGTTGATTCTATACCTAGATTTTCCAATTGCAATATCGTTTCATTTTTATTAATCTCTATAATTTTTGCAACTCCATTTTTCCCATTCGAGTCAAATAATTCTATTGTATTACCAACTTTTAATCTTAATGTTTTTACATGATTGTTTTGTTGTCCACTTAATTGTAAAATACTACCTATTTTATATAAAAAAACAAAAAAAAAGGTTAATATTAAAAAAGAATAAAATAACAACAATAGTTATTATTACCTTTTAAAAATGATGGAAATTCATTAATAAAAAATCTTCTTACCATTTATTTATTATATGTAAGTTTTAATATTAATAATTCTATTTCTATTTATTTTTAACAATATATATATTAAAAAGATTTAATATAAAAACTACAAGCTTTATGGGTGCAGTATTTATTAAATAGTTTTTTTTATTAAGCGAGAGATAAATGATTTTGAATTAAAAAAATTTTTAATAAAAAATGAAATTTTTAAAAAAAAAAAAAAAAAAAAAAAAAAAAAAAAAAAATTCTTAAAAAAAATTTTTTTTTAAAATAGAAATAATCATTTGGGAATATTTGCATAGTAAATCTTTTTTTTTATATATAAATAAATAATTTTGTCTTTTTTTCAAAATTTATAATTTAGTAGAATATTTTAATAGAGTTTATTTAATTTGACTAAATTATATTATAATAAACAAAAGAGGAAAGACCATCAAATTCCTAGGGCAGCATTAAGAAAATTGCAGGAATACAGTGCCCGGATTATATATGTAGACCCCCAACTTTTATTTAATCATTTATAAAATAAGATCTACCAATAATAATTTTTATATGAAGAACCTTACCGCCAATAATAATTAATATTTAATATTAAAAATAAATCGTTAGGAGTGGGTGTGGTAAAATAAAGTATAATTTGGTATGAACAAAATGGATTTGGAACAATATCATGCAAGTCAGTAAGAATTATAATAAAGAGATATAACATAATATATAAAAAGAAAGTTAAGAATCCTTCAATGATTAGACATAATAGCAGAAAAGATTTTTTTTGAAGTTGGGCAAATAAATTTTTTTGTGGAATAATGAGAAAATTATATGTTTATGGATGAAGTAAAGTTCCAATAATAACCATGGTGGGTCTTCTTGGGCTTATGACACTAATGTTTTACTAGAATAATATATCAAGACAAATGTTAGAAAGGGTGGGGTTAATTAAATATTTTTGGGAAATTTTCTTTATTATGTTCCAATTTATTTATTCATTTATCAAATGGATTTTGAACTAAACAATATCTTGATATTATAAAAAACGATACACAAATAAATTTAGAATAATATTCAGATATAAATAAAGTGCCTAAGAGGTTGCCAATCATTTGTCATGACAACTGTAGTTTTCATACAAAGATAGTGAAACAATATTTAGAAGAGAATAATATACAAGTTTATCTATTACCACCCTACAGTCTAGATATTAATATAATTAAAAATCTTTGGTCAATTATTAAAGAAAGGGTATCAAAAAAGATGTTTCGTTACCCATCACAAGACCAAGTTTAGGTATGTCAAGATGAATTTCATTCAATAGAAAAATCAATTATAAAATCATTATATGAATCACTCCCTGACCGAATGGATGCCATATTAAAAGCACATGGAGGGTATACTAAATATTAAATAATAGTAATCATTTATAATTGTAAAAAAAACAAATAAAAAACAAATAAAATTTTTGAAATTGAAAAAACGGATTAAATATTAAGATAAAATTCACCCAAGAACTGTGATGTACTAAGATTTGTTGTAATGAACAAGGATAACTTCTTAATAATAATCAACAATAATTAATAATATTTTTTTTTTTTTTTTTTTTAAAAGTGAAGATAATTAAAAGCAAATGCTTTAAATTAATCAGTAAAATTTTATTTAATGTTTTTTTATAAAGTTTTTAAAGAAAATATTCTAAACTGTTGATATTTGGTAAAGATTTGATGCTGATGAAGTATGCTCTTGCTATTCTTCTTTTGAATTTTCTATATTCTTCATTGATGTTGCTAATTGTTTGTGGTTGTTTAGCTTGTCTTTCCTTGATGTTTTTTAAACCTTTTAAGTATTCTAAAGTAGCTAGTTTAGTCCATTTTGAGGTTAGATTCTTATAATCGAGTTCTTTTATTGTATTTTCTTGATCGTCATATAATTCTTTACATAACCAAATCCAAACTTGATGAAATACCAGGGCTATGGCATTTCTATAAGCGAAACATCTAGTTAAGTCGAAATCTATTGCTTTATAGTTCCATTGGAAGTGTGAAATCTGGTGTTGTTGTAATCCATATTTATTTCTCCATCGGATTTGCTACCTTCTGGGATTTTGTATGAAAGATAATTAAAAGAAACCAACTATTTTAATTAATAAAAAAAGAATTTGGTTATCGAATAATTCTCCGGGAAGATAATTTTATCATAAATAAATCGATAGTTGCAGGGTTCGAACCTGCGCCCCCGAAGGGAATGCCTTAGCAGGGCACCGCATTAACCACTTTGCTAAACTACCAATGATGAATTTTCAAGTATATTTATTGATATCTACCTCTTTTATAGTCTTGGTTCATATTCTAAAAAAGCTCCTTTCGATCCATATTGAAATAGAATATGGAGCTCTATGTAACCAATTGGATAAAATTAAATTATTGTAATTTAAATTTTTTATTTTATATTTTTTTATTTTATTTTATTTTATTTTATTTTAATTATTTAATACCGTAAAAAATTTGTACGTGAAAGTTATTTTAGTTTTTTTTTCATATTTTAAAGAATAATAAAATTACAATAATTTTAAGTTATTGTTATTTTTTATATTTTATTGGACATAAAATTTTAAAAAAAAAATTTTATTCTAAAAAAAAAAATTTATTTTTATTCTTATTTTTTTTTTGGGGTGGAATATTCGATTTTTACGTTTTTTTTTATTTTTTTTTTTTTTTTCAATTTTTTTTTTATTTTTATTTATTTTTTTATTTATTTTTTTCTTTTTTTTTTTTTCAACAACAATTAGCACATTGATTATTTTATACAAAATTTCTATAATCATTTAAATTAATTTAAAATAAGAATCATGGATTTAAAATTTGAAGATTTAGTTGGTAGTTTTACATTTAAAGAAAATGATGATGCAAGTACCATTTATGAAAATAACAAAAATATAATCGATACTTGTATACAGAACAATGGAGAAACATGTAAAGAATCTATAGTTTTTTTCTTTTTTAAAATGTTATTTGATATGCACAATTTTAAAAAAAGAAAAAATACAACCACTCCAAATGAGAATAAAAAAAAACATAAAAAAAATACCGAAAAATTTGAAAAGCCAGAAAAAGATAGCACTCCTATTAAATCAAAAAATGAAGATAAAGAAAATAGTGAAGAGAACCAAAATGCAAATAAAAAAAGTAAAGAGAATAAAGACATATCAATTGAAACTATTAAAGAAAATAAAGATTTAAGTATTGATGAACAAACAAATCAAGAACAAGTATTTTATGAAGTTTATGATTATTCTTCAGAAGATGAAATTGAAGAATCAAATAAAAAAAATGAAATACCAACATTTTCTAAAGAAGAAATTGAAGAATTTTGTAAAAAAACTAATGATGATCAAACTGTTGAAGAAAAATCAAATGAATTTATGGATTTTGAAATTTCAGAAACTGATTCGAGTGTTTTTCAAATGTTAGAACAAAACTCAGATTTAGAAAATAAAAAATTGTTATGGATTAAAATGATGAAATTTAAACAAAAAATACAACAAGATATTGAAAGTATTAAAAATTTATATAAAAATGAAAAATTTTTAAAACTCATCACAAAAGATGTCAATAAAAAGTTAGAAAAAAAAAAAGAGGAGGATTGGACAAAAAACAAAGAAAAAAATTTAATAAAAGCTTACACCAAAATGTGGTACAGAGATAATAAAACAAATTTTATGACTATCACAAATGAAGAAATTTCAACAAAATTAATAGAATATTTAAAAAAAGAAATAGGAAAAGGTCAAAAATTTAGTTCTTCATTTAAAATTCAAACGCTTAAAACGCTTATAAAGGAATCAAAGAAAAATATTAAGTATTTATATAAACCAAAAGACAAATGTTATAAAGAATTATGTGCTAAATATCCAAATTATGTGATTAATGAAAAAATACAATTAGAAACAGAGGTAGTTAAAGATATGGTTAATTCAAAATTTTCTTTTGAAATTAATGATGAAGAGGCTACAAAAGTAGCACAATGGATTTTAAAGGAAAAAGAATCTTTTTATTTTTACACAAAACCAAATAATTTTACGAATCTTTATCAATAAATTTATTTCATTTGATATAAATCCATCGATAACCCTTTAAATTAAAATAAAAAACTTTATAATATTTATCTTTTAAAAAAAATATATAATCAAATCTCTTTCATATTCCCTATTTTATTAAAATTGATGATATAAAAATAGGTTACTTTTTAAATTAGGATACTGAAATATCATAAATTTTTTAAATAAAATATAATAAAATTTTATTTTTTATAAATAATTTGTTTATTTTTTACCATTTTCCTTTTACTATCACTAATTACTAATATAGATTAAAAATTATCATTATCCTCACTTTTTACCGATTATCGTTAGCGTATTCATTTTTCGATTTTTTTAACAAAAATTATCTCTTTTTTTAGCTTTTTTTAAAAAAAATTATTCAAAAAACTTTATTTTATATAAAATTTAATTTTATTTTATAATATATTTGATATTATTACAATTTAATCTTGAAGAAGAATTCCCAAAATTTTACCAACATTAATACCACTGTCTAAAAAGTCATTATTTTGCCAGTCGCTAATGGCCATCTTGAACTCGGTGGTAATAGCAGTATGATGGGCAAAAATGTTAATAACTTCTTTGATAATAACTTCAAATACACCAGCTTCACCACTTTCTAATTTTTCAGCAATAGCTCTAATTTCGTTAACGAATTTTTGGATATTGCATTGTTCGTAGATATCTGGAATTAATAAAAGACCTGCACCAAGATCAATGAAACCACTTTCGATCTTATCTTTTGAGTATGTTTTGAAACCTTGGCTGATTAATGAAAAAGCATTTTCAAAATCCTTAAATGAAGTGGTTGCATCGTTAAAGCATTGTTGGGCTTCTGATGAAACTGCCATTTCTAGACCCTCAGCAAGACCAAGAAGGAAATGACCTACATCAGTCCAACCTGATGGTGAATGACTACCGGAATTGGATGGAGAAGTTGAACCAGTTGATGATGGTAAACCAGATGAAACACCACTATAACTATTACCAGTGCTCGATGAACCATATGAATGGCTTTGTGAACCACTCATTGATGAACCACTCATTGATGAACCACTACCACTTTGTGAACCAGTACTTAATGATCCCATTGAACCAGTTGAATAAATACCAGTATTACCACTAGATGATGAATCACTTTCTGATGAACCTGATTGTGATGAACCTGATTGTGATGAACCTGATTGTGATGAACCTGATTGTGATGAATCTGATTGTGATGAATCTGATTGTGATGATCCTGATGTACCAGATGTACCAGATGAAGATGGTGAACCAGTGGTGGTGAATTGTGATGAGCCTGATTGTGACGAGCCTGATTGTGATGACCCAGTTGATGATGATCCGCCAGTTGTAGTAAATTGTGATGATCCTGATTGTGATGATCCTGATTGTGATGAACCTGATTGTGATGATCCTGATTGAGATGAATCATTTTCTGATGATCCAGTTGATGAACTTGATTGTGATGATCCGGTTGATGATGGGGCTGATGATGATCCACCAGTTGTAGTAAACGAACCAGATTGTGATGAAGAACCTGAACCACTTGAACCACCGGTTTGTGAAGATTGTGATGAAGAACCTGAACCACTTGAGCCACCGGTTTGTGAAGATTGTGAACCTAAATTTTTAAAAAAGTTAGATTAATTATTTAAAAAATAATTTTTTTTAATTTATGATAATACCTGATGATGATGAGTCGCCTCCAGTTGATGATCCACTGCCACTACCACTGCCATTTGATGATGATGATGAGTCGCCTCCGGTTGATGATCCACTGCCACTACCACTGCCATTTGATGATGATGATCCGGTGGATGATGAACCAGTTGAGGATCCACTGCCACTACCACTACCACTACCATTTGAATCTTTATACAAATTATTAATATTAAATTAATTTAAAAATAAGAATGAAATTTTTTTAAAAAAATTAATTATTAAAAAAAAATATTACCTGAAGAATCGGTTGAGTTTGATGAACCAGTAATTGCACCAGTTAAAGAACCAGATGTTCCTGAAAATCCACTTCCACCTGTACCTGAATTTGAAATTATATTAATTTACTATATATTTAACCAAAAAATAAAAAACCAAATTTAATATTTACCCGAACCAGAATTTATTTCAATGGCGTATTGATCTCTGTTTGAGATGGCTGCTGTTAAAGCAACCAAAATCAATAATAAAGAAACAAAGAGTAAATTTGAACTTTTCATTGTTGTGTGTGGTTTAAAGAGATTAAAAATAATAAAATAAAAAAAAAAATAAAAAATTATAAAAGTAAAAAATAAAAAAATAAAAAAAAATGGCAGAAAAAATTTAAAATTTAAAAAAAATAAAATTATAATAAAAAAATCACGGGATTACACCCCGCCACGAAAAGACAATAAAACCAATTAAAAAAAAGATATTTTTAAAATAAAGTTGGGTATTTTTTTAAAATGATAAAATAATGCACCAAAAAAAAATTAAAATGATTAAGTGTAAGCATCCCTTATTGAATTTAATTTATTTGATAAAAATATGTGAAAAAAAAAAAAATAAAAAAAATTTATAAAATTGATTATTTTAGTAATAATAATTATTTACTTGTTTATTATTTTATTTAATTTTATTTTTTGTTGTTTTAATTAAAAACACCGATCTTAATTTTGAACCAATGATAATCGCTAAATAACCAAAGAATAAAGAGACTAAAAAGATTAAACCTCCAATGACTACTCTATAGGTTTCTTGAATTAAATAATCGAAATCTCCTAATGGTGGTGGGAATAACATATAGTTGATATTGGTACCGCTGAAAAATGAACAAATTTCAAAGACTACAAAATGAGCTAAACCAATTAAACTTTCTGAAATTAATGCATATGACCATTCGAATTTGATATCATATCTATACATTTGTAATGTAATTGGTGCTAAAAGTAATGCATAATGTTGAATAAAGAAATTGTGAACTTCAAATGGTAATGTTAAATCTACTGTATCTGGTGCTGCTAATGCTAATACTCTACATTTTAAAATATTAATAATGATGGTTTAATAATAATAATAATAATAATATAACCACTGTTTAAAATGAAATACCCACGTTACAAAAATATAATATACTGAAATTTTAAAAACTTCTCTTCCTTTTCCATAGTTTGGGGTTAATAAACAATATGCATAGATTGAACTTACAATATGACATGGTTGGAGCATAAAAAATACGACTCTCCATCCTCTTACGCATTTATAAATAAGATTTAATATTACATTAATTATTAAAATTGCTGCCAATATATAATTTATAATTGATCCAATATCTTTAACCATTAGTGGTCGATTTTTATTAATAATTTGATTTCTTTTTAATAATTTATAACCCACTGTTTATTCATATTATTATTCATATTATTATTTATTATTAATATTATATTAAAACAAAATTTTGTATAAAAAAAAAAAACTATTAATATGATTTAAAAAAAAATTTAATCAATTATAAAAAGAAAAAAAAAAAAGATTCTTACAATACATTGTTATTAAATAAAATGTATTCATAATTAAAAATTCGATGGCATGTTGTTCTGGTGTTAAAAACCAATGTTTTTTTTCGATTGGATCGCTTATACTTAAAAAAGTATAGGCTAGTGCCTTTACAACTCTATTAAACATTTTACTATCTTTTTATTATAGCTATTGTTATTATTTATTTATTATTACAAAAATTGATTTGATGGTATATTTTAAAAAAATTTAAAATATTAAAAAAATCAAATAAAAAAAAAAATTTTAAAATAAAAAAAAAATCAAACAAAAAAAAAAAATTTAAAATAAAAAAAAAATATAAAAAATAAAAAAAAAACGAATGATGAAACAATGCATTCTTTGAAACTTTAATATAAATTATCTCTTTTAAAATTTATAATTTAATTAAACAATAAAAAAAAAAAAAATTTAAGTTTTTATAGATTTATATTTATTTAAAAAGAAAAAAAAAATTAAAAAAAGATTTGATTAAAAAAATATACAAAATATGTGTGTTGAAAATTTTTAAACTATTATTACTTTCTACTATTATTATATTGGTGAATTTAAAGTTGTTTTAAATTTCATCTTCATATTCATCATAACGATTATATTGAGCTTTTGAAGGAGCTTTTTTGAATATTGAAACTACTAAACCAACCAAGAAGAAACCAATAATGACCCAAGTGGCATAGTAGAAAATGATTCCAAAGAAAGAAGTACCCAATTGAATACGTGAAGTTAAAGAACCAATTTGAGACATAACACAAGCACCTTGTGGAGCAGAGATATTGCATGGCTCTAAAGCGGCAGAGGTTGCGTTGAAAAATTGTTGAGTGCCATACATAACATAACGTGGAGCTAATTGAACGATTTGCATATTTAAGCAAAGGTTGCTTAACATTAATAAAACTGAAGCAATTAAAAGTCCTTGTGGGAAAGTTTTACGATAGCTAAATTCAAACATGTTGATCCAAAGGAATCTAATACCAATTCTAGTGATACCAGATAAAGCACAAACGTAGATATATAAAATTAAACCACCCAATAAGATGTAGTCCAATGGAAAGTATGGAGCTAAATCTAATAAAACGATATCGAATGGATTCTTTAATTTTGGATAAGTTGAGAGGAAACCACATGCTGAACCACAAACTGAACTTGAGATCTTATCAATGATTGCGAGAACTAATGAGATAACAATTAAGAATGATAATAAGATGAAAATGAAACCAAAAATAAAAGCAAATGGTCTGAAAATGACTAAAACTTTTTTAATTCCTCTGTCAGCTTTATCTAAACGGTCTGATCTTTTTTCGAGGGCTCTTTCTTTACCTTTTAATAGACTAAGATGGCTTTGCTCTTTTTCTGTTAATGATTTTCCAGATGCATATTTTGATGAATAGAAACTACTCTTTTCTCTAGTCTTGAATAAATCTTTATTTAAGTCAGCTTTATCATCGTCAGTTCTTCTATTGCCTTTAATTAAACCAATTGGGAATGCAGAAAGACCATAGGCAGTATAAGTAATCCAAACAGCAAAACCTAAAATTGTTAAACATGCAATTGCAAACAACAATGATGACTCTACAGCATTTTGATTCAATACCTCATCTTTAATCCATTGATCAATATTTTCATTTCCAATAGATTTGCTTCCTGGTCTAACAAATGCTCCAACTACTAATAAAACAACTGCAAACAAAACAAAAAATACTGTATATTTGCATCCTGCATAAACTCTTGAACAAACTGGTATATTTTCATCATACTCTTCATAGAAAAAGTATGCAAATGGTACTAAAATTAATGAAACTCCAATAATTGATCCATATAAAACTAAAGTTAAATTAAAAATATATTAGAATTAATTAAAAATATAATTTTATATTATTATTATTATTATTATTATTTATATTAATTGATTATTTTATTATATCTTGATACTATACTATAATATAACATTTTAACACCTTCAGTTCTTGAGGCTATAGTTCCTGCATCAATTAGTGTTCCATTTTTTGACATTGTAGAAACATTTAATATATCGACTGGAATTAACATTACACATAATAATGTTAAAGTTAAACCAATTACTGCAATAATTGTTGTAATGGCTTCTGATTCATGTTTATCTGAATAATATTTAACCACAATATAATTTAATGCTATAACAAACTAAATATTACCTATTAGTACATATTAATTTATAAAACTTTATATTTAAAATTGAATGTTACTTACTAATATGCAACCTGCAAATATAACCCAACCCAAATCAATTGATATCATCTTTATTTACTATTTATTTAAATATCTATTTAAATATTATATAAATAAAATTATATATGTTTATGTGAGGGAGAAAATAATAAAAAATAATTTTAAAAAATTTTAAAAAAATTAAAATTAAAAAAATTAAAAAAAAATAAAATTTAAAAAATAAAAAAAAATAAAATTATAAAATAAAGAATAAAAAAGGTTAGATGGGTGTTAATTGTGTGAGGTAATATTTTGGATAAAATAAAAATTTATATGTTGATGGTTTTTAATTTCGTTGTATCTTCACCACGGAAAATTATGACATATAAAATTATTTGTTTGTTTAGAAAAAAAAATAAAAATAATAATTTTAAATAAATAAATAAAATTTTTAAAATCTATTTATTTTTATTCTTTCCTTTTTTGAATAAAATAAAAAAAGAATTAAAAAAAATAATAAATTATATTTTTTTTAAAAAAAAAATTTATGTTTATTATTTTATTGTTTTATTTTATTTAAAAATTTATTAAATTACATTTTAAATGATTAGTTAATAAAAACTAATCAAATAAACCACCCATATCATCATTTGACTCTGTCATATAGGATTTTTGAGATATTGGTTGAGGTTTACTACATTTCTTTTTACCAATAAGATTACTAACCATTGCGGAGGCACCTGATCTATCATTAACAGCAACCTTTTTAAGAACATTAATATTGAATTGGGCCAATTGATCACCTACATAGGCTTCTTGTAATTGAATATTTTGTTGTAATTGTTGTGGTGTAATGTTACGATTCATTTGTTGCTGTTGTTGTGGTGGTGCAATGTTACGATTCATTTGTTGTTGTGGTAGTTGTTGTTGTTGTTGTTGTTGTAATTGATTGATATTTTGTTGTCTAATTTGTTGAACTTGTTGTTGTTGTTGTTGTTGTAATTGCTGTTGTTGTTGTCTACGTGGTGATGGTGGTTGAGCTTGATTAACTGCAACTGGTTGAGCTTGATTAATCTTACCAACTGAATTTCTCATTATACTTTGAAGACTTGGTCTATTAACTGGTAAAATTGGTGGTGGTGGTGGTGGTGGTAATGGAATACCATTGGCACCAAGTTTAACTACTGGTTTAGGTGGTTGGCTACTGAGTGGTAATGGTATTGGTATAGTACCAAACATTGGTGGTGGTGGTGGTGGTGGTAATGGAATTGGTACTTTTTCAATCTCTTTGATAACATCTAAAATATGTTTATAATCTTTGTGTTCGACACCACATTCTTTTTCTCTAATTGATTTAATGTCGAAAAGAATTTGTAAAGCTTCTTGCTTTCTCTTTACAGTATTTAATATAATAGCAAGACGAATTTGAGTTGATAATACAATTTGATGATTTGAACCAAAAATCTTTTTAGTGATATCAATGGCTCTGGTAGCACATTGTTCAGCTTTTTTATATTCTTCTTGCATTTCATAAAGACTGATCATATGACGTAAAATTTGAGCAACTCTAGAATGCGATAAACCAAAGTTTGATTCATAAATTTTAAGTGAACCTTTAAAGCATGATTCAGCATCGCTAAATTGATCCTTTTCAATGTAAAGAGAACCAAGACGTGTAAGGATACGGGCATATGAAACATCATTATCACCCAATTTAAGCTCGGTTAATTCTAAGGCTCTTGCAAAGAATTGTTCTGCGACATCAAGTTTTCTAGCTTCTTCTACAAAGTGAACAACACCAAGACTATAGGCTACATCTGCAACCAACAAACTATTGCTTTCATATTTATTTTCACAAATATTCATTGCTTGATATAAAACTTTCTTGGCATCTTCATGTTTGTTTCTATTTGTAGCCAAAGTACCTAACAAATTAAGAGTAATAGCAACTTCGATATCTTCTTCACCTCTTTCTTTGGTATAAATAGCGAGAGCAGCTTTAAATTTGGCTTCTGATTTTTCATATTGACCTTTGGTAAGATACATTCTACCCATAGCACGGTCAACCTTGGCAGCTTCGAGATTTTGAGAGTTATTAACATAAAGTTCACGACATTTGGTGTAGAAAGATTCAGAACCATCATATTGAGATATTTCTTCCATGAATGAAGCTACTCTATACCAAAGGTCAGAAATTACTAAACCAGAAGCTTGTATGAATGAACGAGATACAACGGCTTGGAACTCGCTTGAACATTTATATGGGATTGGGTCATCTCTTTCAGCAGCATTTCTTGGTGGTTTGGTTTGTTTCTCGAGTACATTCCAATAGTTGATTAAATCGACTTTGTGATGTGGTGTATAAAGCTTATCGAATACGAAAAGATTTGTTAAAGTTGAATTTAATTTTTCCCAGTTTTCTGATTTTAAGAGATGATATGGATATTCTTCAATAAATCTTTCAGTTAAATCTTGTGAAACTTCGTACTCTTGAGCTAAATCGAGATAAACATCCCTGGTATTGTTGATGTACTTTCTTTCGACGGCATCTGCGATATCATTGTTTAAGAAGGTGATAACACCACTGCTATAACTAATATAGTTTTCCATTAAAACCAAAAGTGAGGACCACTCTTCTGGGTCGATATTCTTTTTATTTAAAAGCGAAGTCATCATTGAAATTTCGATACCTCTTCTACTGCCCCAAATGTATTTAAGGAATTCTTTGACTAAACCCTTACCCTTTGGATCATAGTCTTTTTCGATACGATCCAAAATGATTTCATAAAGATTACTTGTGTTTTTGGCTCTATAGAGGGTTTTAACACGGGTGTCTAATTTTTCATAATCACCAAATACCAAGATATCGTCCAATACCAATTGAAGGAAACGTGGGTTTGAAGTTGATTTTGAAATTGCAATTTGGATCTCTTGTTGATCGGTTAATTTCTTGGCATATTTTTGAAGATATAAACGTACCATGGATTTTCTTTCTGGTTCGCTGAATGGTTGAATATTGATAATGGAGGAGTTTCTCTTTTTTAAAATTTCAGCTTGTCTGGTGCTATTGGTAGTTGAAACGATCATCTTGAATCCTTGTGGGTAGATTTTTGGGAACCAAATTAACTCTTGACTATTATCTCTTTGATCCATTTTATCTAAACCATCAATTAAAACAATAACTCTTTTACCGTTCATTGTTGGATGGGACATTATATATTGAATAAATAATGTAAATTCGTGAGAAATCTTTTCACTTTCGAGAGTTTCATCTGGAATCTCTGGTACCCATGACGATGATGAAGCAGATGATGAAAAAACTGAAGCACCGCCGCTACTTGAAAGCTTTTGATCCTTTTCAATTAAATGCTTAAGTTCGTGCATTACTCTAATCAATGTACTTGTAAATTTGTTTGAAGATGGTGATGCACCGACCCAATGAGAAATTGAAAAATCTTCTGGATGTTGCTCTTTGTGTTGCTTTAACCAATTGCACATTAATGAACTTTTGCCAATACCACTGTCACCTTGAACTAATAATACTTGTTTCTTTGAGGTGGTAATAAAAGTGTCGATATCCATGAAATAAGTTTCGTTGGTTATATAGAATTTAATAAGACTCTTATAAAAGATTGAATGAAGGAAACGTTCTTTTTCAAAACCTTTTAATTCACAGTTACCAGATGGGAATTTCTTGTCAATAAACTTTTCTAAATCTTCATAAAGAACATCAGAAAGATTGGTTGGACGTCTATATTCAGATGATTTGAATTGTTGATTTTTAGTAATTTCTTGTTTTAATTTATCTAATTTTTCTTTTGAACGTGGACCTTCTGAAACATAATTATTCTTTTCGATTTGTGGGAGTTCTTCGATGTAGTATGGATCACGGAAATAAAAGAAACCATTTTTACCAGAGTTTGGATTGTTTAAAAGCATACGGAATTCAATTTCAGTCATACTTGCATCTCTAAATTTATTAACCCATGGGAAATCATTGATGGCATGGTCTAATGTTGAAACCAATAATTGTTGAGTCTTTGGATCTGATTTTTCTTGGGCTGACCAACCATATCTTTCACCAAAAAGACCGATTAAAACATTACATTTTTCTAATTCTTTTAAGCACATTGATAGACTGTTGGATTGTTCGGATTGATTGCTGGTTACACCCCATCTAAGATCGACGTAGCTAATCATAATATCCCTTTCGATGCAAAGCTTTCTAATCTTTGGAATAACAACTTTAACAATTTGGTCACGATCGAATTTCATATCTTTGAATGGAGATGAAATGAAAATTCTAATTTCTCTTTCGGCAAACTCTTCTCTGTTGATTGATGAATTGGATGAAATTAAATCTTCATCTGAATCATCATCAGAAAGATCGTTGTCGTCGTCATCGTTGGTAGATGGACGACTAGAGTACTCTGAACAATCATCCATTAAACCATCATGGCCTTCAAGTAGTTGAGAGGCACCACTTTCATGGTTTGTAATATAAAGTTGATCCAATCTATCGTCATTCAAGTTGGCTAATCTCTTTAATAAAATTGATTCCATATTTGAGATGTTTGTAATGGCTCTCTTTAAATTCTCTAATTGACATCTTAAAACAACACCATCTTGTTCTTTTGGAGTTGGTATTTTGTGAATATTTCCATCGAAAAATAAAAAGTGAATTGGATAACCAAATTGTTTACCATCATTTGATGCATATACTGGAACTTGACCTATAGAGGGATTAATACCATATGGAACTGTACAAAGTACTGACGAATTTGAATGAAATTCATAATTTGTAGCAAATATATTATCACCAAATCTAACTCTAAATGATGGTCCTATAATAAAATTTAAATTTTGTTTTTATTAATAAATTTCATTAAATATAGTTTTATATTAATGAATATTTACCTGGTGCAAATGATATACCATAAATTGATATTTGGTAACCGCCATATGAAGGTCCAGATGGTGGTATAATTAATGTTATAGTTGGATCATTTACTGCAGCTGGTTGGGGCTGAACCAAGTTTGGGTTTACTTTAACAATTTTATTATTAGTTGTTGCTAGTGTTGTAATTTGTGATGATGATTGTGGAAGTGGTTGTTGATCAGCAAATTTAATATTTGTTTTTCTAGAGTATCTTTCTACATCTTTAGAAATACTATCATATTCAACGAGTTCTGTCTCTAATTTCTTTGCTGTTGAAATTGGAAATTTATTTTCATTTATAGTTTTTAAAGTTGTAATAATAATATCAACCTAGTTTATTGAAAATGAAAAAAAAAAAAAAAAATTGAAAAAAAAAAAAAATTAATTTTCAAAATTTTAAAATAGTTAAAAAAAAATAAAATATTTTAAATATTTATAAAAAACTATATATATAAATAAACAATAAATATAAATTTACTTTTTTTGAAAATCTTTTTTCTAATTTTCCTTTTTTATATATTACAAATGATTTACATTTTTCTCTTTGAATTTCATCAAGAGATAAAATATAAATATATTTATCTTTGAAAGTATTTTTCATTTATAAGTGTTTGTGTTAATGTTATTTATTGATTAAATTACAAAAAAAAATTTAATTAAATAAAAAAATCAATAAAAAAATTTTTTAAAAAAATTAAATTTAATTTTTTAAAAAAAAAAAATCAATTGATTCTTTGAAACCGATTTGAAAAATTATTTTTTTGATGCTTTAAAAATTATTTTTAAATTTTGTTAAGAAATATTAAAGAAAATAATTATTAAATTCAAAGTTTGCAAGAAGAAATGTATAAATTAGGATAAATATATTTTAATTCATATTTTATATGAATTTTTCAAGAGCTATTTATTAATTTTATGATAATAATTTTGTGATCCTGAACAAAATTAATTTTAAGACTAATGTTAATAATATTATCTCTAAATTATTTTTATTTATATAATTTATTTTTTTAAAAATTATTAATAAAAAAAAAAGACTCATTTTTTATTTTTTATTTTAAATCTTTTTAATCGTCAATAACTTTCCCCATTTTATAATTTGTATATAGGTCTTAATGAAATGGAGTTTGTTTGACGAGAAAACTTCTTTTAAAAACTTTTATTATTATTTAAATTAAATAAATAAATGTAAAATATTATTAAAAAATTTAATATTATGTCAATTATCAATTGATACTATTTTTATTTATAGTTTAATTGTTACTTGATGAATCCTCAATTTCGAGTCTATTTGATACCTTTTTATTAACAGAGCATGTTAGATAACCAGATTTACAGACAATATGGTCACCTAAACAATTCATAGAAGTACCTTTGGTTGTACATTTTATAGAACCACTGTGTGTATCAGTTGAGCATGTATCATCAAATGAATCTGTACAATGTGTTATGCCATTTCCAATACATTCAATTGCCTCGTTACTTTGAATTAATAATGAATCTCGGTATTTGGTGCAAGTGACACTTTGTGGTGCTGGTGTTGGTTCTGGTGTTGGCTGTTCTGTTGGCTCTGGTGTTGGTTGTTCTGTTGGCTCTGGTGTTGGTTGTTCTGTTGGCTCTGGTGTTGGCTCTTGTGTTGGTTCTTGTGTTGAATTTTTTAAAGAAATTATAAAATCGGAAGCAAAATTTGAGCTTGTGATCCAACCCAAATTAATACCATTATCATAAAGCCATGCATATGGACTTGCGATTTTATATAAATTATTGGGTTGTCTTACTAAATACATTTTTTCCCAATCACCTGAAAAAAAAAAAATTAGTAAAGGTTTAAATTAGATAAAATAAAAAGATATCTTACCTAAATGTTGAATTGTAAAAACTCTTCTATCGGTTGGATCTGATGATAAATAGTTGCCATACAAATCTTTAATAACAACCTTACCGTTATTAACTGGGATAAGGGTAAAGGTAGTGTTGTATTCAGATGTTGAATAAGACAATGCGATTTTTTTATTTAAGCCATTGAAATCTTCAGAGTACCAAGTAGTGTTTGAAACATCAAATACCTTTTGGGTGACGTTTGATTGGATTGTAATTTGTTTATATAATAATGGATGTAACTGATGGTCGAAATTGGTAAAATTATTTAAAACATTTATTGTCCAATAGGTGTAGTTAACGAATGAATAATCTATACCAAAGTTATTGTTTTCTGTTAAATATCCTTCATTACTACTAATTGATATCATATCACTTGTAATATAATTAAAAGTTAAACCCATTTTTTCGAAATAATCATTCTGTAATTTTCCATTTTCATAAAAGAAATAGCCCAATCTATCATTTAAATTATTTAAACTAACAGTTTTTAATGAACTAGTGTGATTTGGTTTCCATCTGTAGTTGGTATCAAAAACCTGTAAAAATCTACCAGTTTTTTGTGACTTTAATGTAATATAACTCTTGTATGAATCAGCATTTACCTTTATCAACAAAACTGATAATAATAATATAACAATACTGAATTTATTCATTTTATTTGTGACTTTTTTTTTAACAAAAACAAATTTTTTATTTTTTTTTAATCACGCAAAAAAATAAAAAATTAAAAAAAAAAAAAATTTCCTTAATCCCCAAAAATAAATATAAAACAAAAAAAAATTTTAAAATAATAAATCAAGAATTAGACCTTAGAAAAATAAAAAACCAACCCCCAAAATAATAATCAAGAGAAAGTTCTTTTTTTATTTTGCTTTATCTTTAATTTTTAAGTAATTGTTTTATTGAATTTTTAAACTGTAAGATCCCCTGGGTGTGTGACAAACCCCCATCTATTAATAAATATTTTAAATTCGTTTATTATACAATATTAAAAAAAAAGAATTTATTTATTAAACATCACCAAAAAGTTTTGTGAAAATAAAAAAAAAAACATTTTATGTGTCTTATTTAATTTATTTAATTTTATTTAATTATCTGATTTATCGTCATCTGAAACATGTAAAAAGCTATTAATTTCATTATCAGAGTCAGAGTCTTCATTTGTCTTCTTTTTTCTTGAACCAGATTCATTTTTATTTCTATAGTTACTAAGATTACGCTTGTTATCTTTTTTAATGTTCTTTTTGGCTTGTTTCTTCTTTTTAGTTTTTCCACTGGCCATACCATCGTCATCGGATGAATCGATATCATCAATATTTAATAAAGAAAGATCCAATAATTGACCATTATCACCAACTAAAACAGTATCAACTCTAGCTTTTAATACTCTACAAGACTCTTGAACTACAGATCCACATGAACATTTTTCACCAGAGTGGCTAAAAGAACCAAGTTTAGTTTCGCATTTTGGACAAACGACTTTGATATTGTTTTTAGTGATATCTACTTTCATCCATGGAGCAGCTGATAAAAAGAATGATTTACAACCACGACTATTATTACTACCTGTAACTTCTTTATCTGCTTGCTGCTGTTGTTGTTGTTGCTTTTGTTTTTGTTGTTGTTTAACATAATTATGATCTAAAACTTTTGATTTCTCTTCATGTTGAATCAAATCTATATAATTAAATAATCTAGTTCTACACTTTTTGCAAGAGTAATGAATATTTTCCAATTCCTTTTGTGAAAGTTTTGAAATATTTCTATCAAAAGTTTTAATTGCATTTTCTTCATCTGAATCCTCGTAATCTTCGTTATCACTATCTTCGTTATCACTACCTTCATCTTCCTCGTCTTCGTCTTCGCTTTCGATTTGTTGTTTCTTTTTTGATTTTGGTTTTGATTTTGATTTTTTATCGTCTTTGGTTGCTGGTGTTGCTTTTGTTGATTTCTTTGATGGCTTTGTTGATTTGGTCTCAACCTTTTCTTCCTTTTCTTCCTCTTCCTCCTCTTTATTCTCTTCAACGTCAGCTTGCTCTGGTTCAATTGGTTTGACTAATGAATAAAATTGAATTGCATTTTGTTTAAGTTGTTTTGCTAAATCCTCAACTGACATTTCTAATTGTTTTGCTGCAACTTCTAAAACATAAACAAGATTAGATGGTTCGTTTCTTTGTTCTTTAATGTATTGATCTGGAATATTTTGTGGTGTATGATTTGGACTATCTGAAACTAAAAGAATTCTATCTTTTGGTACTTTGGTAATGAAATCTCTAATTTGATCACCCTTATCACTTTCTTCACATAAAAGACCATTAAAACTAATGTAAAAATCCATGTCTATAAACTTTTGTAAAAAGCTGCTACTGCCACTATATGAATAAATCATACCTCTAACTATATCTTTTCTACAATCCTTTAATACTTCGAGTAAACCATCACCACTACCAAAATCTTGCAATACCACTGGTAATCCCAATTCTGCTGCTAATGAAACCTGTGCCTTTAAAAATTTCTCTTGTGGGAATTTTAAACCATAATCTCTTTCATAATCTAAACCAGTATAAATTGCAACAACATTTGGATTAACTGCATGCTATAATTAATTGGTTTATTAGTAACTTATAAAACACTCATGTTTTCATTCAGATCTATTAAAATCAAACTTACAATTTTTAATTGATGAACTAATTGTAAAAATAATTTATCACTCATCTTTTTTGAACTAATATTTGATGGATGAATACCAACTACACTATAGATGGATCCTTGGTGAGCTTGTGATACTGCAATTGATGTCTCTGACTTTTCAAAATCATTGGTAATGATAACCATACCCTCTACACCTGCACTCTTTGCTCTTTGAATAACACGAGATTGGTCATTCTCTAAATGTCTA